ATGAGTAATAACATGAGCGAGTGCACGATATCACAGGCCTTTTTATGGGCAACATCACATGCAAATACTGTGTGAGTGTTCCGTGTAATTTTCCATAACATCTTTTACGAGACTCTGCCAACAGTCAGATAATCAGGCCTTTGTGAAGACGTGAGGTGATAACCAAGAATTTTCTTTTTTATTATTATTATTTCATGTTGCAATTTATATGTATTCAAATTGCTATTATTTTAGTTGTGTATGTAAATATTGTTATTAGAATTTATTTTTATAAAGGTCTAAATTCTTCTTTTTTCTCTTTTTTGGATCAATAAGTAACAATCTCTGCACTTTTTGACTGTACTTTGTAGAATGGCATGAAGATGAAACTGCTACTTGTCACACACTCATCTTCTCATCTTTAAAATTTACCATAAATCCATGATAAGAATGACCTGCAGTCAACATTTACCAAGATAAAAGCATTTTAGCATTTTAGCCTTTATGCATAACATCTCCTCCCTACCCTGTTCAATTTTAGGACAATTGTGGCCCACGAGTCAAAAACTTTGCCCACGCCTGTCCTATACCATGTGGGTCACAGCATAATATAGACTACATGGTAAATATACACCATGTGTGAGTGGTCCGAGAGCCAACCTGGCTAGTTTTATACTTAAACTTGGTAAAAGTTGACTTGTCTATTTTAATGAGAAAATGAAATGTTCACAGTCATTACAGACAGTGTAAGAGTTGATATTGTATGAAGAGAGGACCAGCAGTCCTAATGAACCATGTCTGTGACAGTGAGTTTGTTGTGACAACGTCATTGATCAAAGACAGGGTTGTTGTATATTTTCCTCTGTCAGCCTGCAGTCTGACACGTTCAGGCATAATCACAGTTCCAAAGTGGAAAATAACCTGAACTTGGCCTCTGACTGTCATTGTTATTCTACTCCAGCTTCGGTTTGAATGTATTGTTGTACTTGAAGCTTAGCCCGTTGCCTTGGCAACAATACCGATAACCACCACTGCCCCTGTACTTACCGGCCAGGCGTATTTGAAGGGAATGACAATGTGTCCATTAGTCCCATCGTCTCCTCCTCCTCCTCCTCCTCCATCGTGTCCTCGGTGGTGAAGCGACTGGGAGTTTCCTCCCAGGATCCTTGTGCTGCCTGATCCAAAGGTGCAGGTTCCAGTCGGGACCACCCGTGCCTGGTACTCCTTAAGGCAGGCTTGAAAGAAAGTGTCACACTGGTCCCTGGCAGAGCAACGCTGTCCCCCGCTGGACTGCAGGTCGCAGCAGTCCCCGTTCTGAAGGAATCCGTGTGGGTTCTGGAAGTGATGGATCTGTAGCTCGAACATGCCCACGGCACAAACAGTCTGGAGGGAGGGAGAAGAACAATAAGACGGAGGACAGGAAGTTACAATCATGTCATTTAAATATGCAGATCGAGTCGGTGACACCTCAGCTCATAATTGGGGATGAGTTCTGTGTAGTAACATCCTGACCAGCACTGATTGGTCAATTTGACTGTCCGTACGTTATTTTCATTTTTCACTCCATTATTTAACATAAATAATAGTATTGTGTAACATATCCTCACCACAGGCGTGATCACTACGAGATATGCTATACAGCATTATTTTATTTATTTATTTATTTTTTTGGACAATCGTTTGATTAAACAAAAAGACGCAGCTCCGCTTCCTGCCCTGCAGGTGCTGCTCTGACTAAATCTGATAGCCCTTAACTAGGCGTTGAATGAGATGCTACGACATCGCGGTATAATGTAAATCAGTCAGAGCTGAAATCAGTTGGGTCATATGACAAATGTCTTCAAAAGTGAGTTAAAAGAGCCATATCACGTTACTGTATGTGAAATTCTATGCATCACATCACACCACAATAACACACCCACAGGTGGCAGTTAGGTAATGCTGCAACTTTGAAAAAACAAACACCAGAGAAAGAAAAAAAAAGAAAAGAAAGATTTTTCATAAAAACATCTAAGATATAAGTTTTTGAAGTTGGTTTCCTCTGAAATGCAATGGGTTTTAGGGTAGGAAGTGTGTGATCTCATCGGCCTTCTGGTCAATTCTGGCCCCTTCAGCACATTAAACCCTGTTCACACGGCTGCAATAGGATACAACACGACTCCAGTCCCTGTAGTACATATGACAGGCATGTATGTGGCGCTGTGTCAACCACGCTTTAGCCAAAGAGCATTTGCGTACTGCTTGCAAACTGTAAACAAACTCAAAAGAGCAGCGCAAAAAGTCAGAGCTAGCTAACTGTAGCACAACCAAATTAGCTTCCCCAGCACAGACAGGAGCATGGTTTCCACCACTGTTGTTATTGTGTTGATCAGGGGTACTGTTGTAAAAGGTGACAGAGAGGCGGGGGTGATCTATCCACTCTGGGACCCATATATGGTAAAGCCCCGCCCCCACACCTCAAGGCCGAATCTACGAAACTACTGGATCTGTAGTTGTCATCTAAACACATCCGAACCACAACCACAAACATCTGTGTTGACGATTGAGCTAAATGGCTAACAGAGGCCGGAGCGCTACTATCTATGAAGCTGAACACCAGGTGTGTCAAAGATACGGCCCGCAGGCCAAAACAGGCCCGTTTGGGTGTTCAGTTGGTCCTCCTTGATGAATGTGGGAAGTAAAAATAATTAATTTTTAATTATAATTTAATATTTTTTTAAATATAATTTTTTGTACAAATATAATTTGTACTTTTTTATTGTATATTCTTATTCATAGATGTTATGATTGCACTGGTCTGGCCCACTTCACGGCTAATCAGGCCCCTGAACCAAAATGACACCACTGCTGTATATCTTGCCAAATAAGATAAAACACTAATTTGGGAACCTTCATCACATCACTTTGTTGAAATAAACAATAAGGTTTTTTTAATCTGCCTCTGTCTGTACGTTTCACTCTGATTATCTGTTCATCAGCAGGTGACGATACTGTACAGCTAAGAGCCAAACAGTTCACTCCCACTGTTGAGCACAAGCATTTTGTTACATGTGACATGGAGAGAAAAGATTCCCGTGATGAAGAGGAGCGGCACTACGACCTCTGTTCAGTAACCATCAGAGGACAGATTCACTAAGGAACACACTCGGGGCCACGTCTCTCAGCCTATTTAGTTCACCGTTCACATCCAGCGTGGCTGGAGAAAATAGTGAAATCTGAGTTATGAGCCTAAATGAGTGAAACTGGAGCCCAGAGCAGGGGCAGATGGAAAAATGAACCCGGAACATCCTTCTCAGATAAGCAGTTTCAGGGGGTGGGGGAGGTAGCAGCTTCAGTTTGACCAAAATGCTTTAAATACTGCTGGAGTGAGGGAGAAAGAAAAAAAAACCAACACAGGAAACACAACACGGCGCTTTAATTGATGGTGTTGTATGTTGTATTGTATTTTGCTGCTGTACCCACAGCTCCAACAAACTCAGAGTTAAACACAGGAGCTCAGTGAAGACGGAGACGTTCAGGAAGTGAATCAAAGGACATGATCCATGGGTTTAAGCCCTTCCAGCAGAAAGGACTTTCCTTTAAAACAGCACTTCTACCGTTTTATGAAGAGATTACACTGTAATGAACAGATACTGATCTATGTGGGAATTGATATCCCAGGGATTGTTCCTTTTTTTCAGTTGTTTCTAACCAAATCTTGGACCAGCTCAAGGACACACCTGCTATTTAACCATTCCTCCACTCCCTGCACTCCGCTTGTCTTTTTCTTTCTTTCTTCGGTTGCCACCACTCCCAAGTCACTTCTCTCTTCCCGACAAACAATGACACCGTGCTGTTCACACCTCCACCTCCTCCACCTCCTTTGTCGTCCAGTCCTCCCTGTGTTGTTTCAGCTCCTTATGACACGTTCATACCTTTTAGTTTTTCCCTTTTAAAGATGGATGAAACAAACACACACAGAGCCCCCACCCCCCCCACCCCCTTACCCATGCACACCAGATTTAACAAGACCCCCTGAGAGTGTCAGAGCACCAGGGTCAGGTGTGTGTGTGTGTGTGTGTGACAGTCAAAGAATGACCCAAAGTCTCCATCTACTTTCAGCACAGAAATAAAGCGGCGTTATCGCCACAAACAACGGCGTTTGACGAACACGTCAGGGTAACTCCCAGTCATCCTGGCGTTCCTGCACAGACACAAGCTCATTACTGTGTGTTCAATTGTGCGTCCCCTGCGGTGCTGTGCACTCAATCATGGACAGCAATCAGACCAACAAGCCTTCATGTGCCCACCAGACTCTCTGATGTGCCATTGTGTGCGCCCTGTCCCTGGATCCAGGGGGGGAGGAGGGGGGAGGCGGGGGGAGGGGGGACTCATCTACATCAAAAGGTTTGTGGAGATACAGTGGGGCTCATCACTCTGCGTCCTCCTTTCTTCCTTTCCTACTCTCACTGCCCGAGCCATTCTCCAAATACCAGCGTTTCAGCGCTTCGGTCCAACCACAGAGACAGACAGAGAGGGAGGGAGGGAGGGAGGGAGGGAGGAGAGGGTACGATGTGTTAGAGCTCAACCAAGGTTCAAACCATCTCTGCAGGAGAGTTATGGAAGTTAAAGACCAACGACGTCCTCCGAAGCCAGACTGAGACTGACATTTAGAGCTCAACAACTTCTAGAGCGTCACAATTGCTCCATGGGAAAAAAAAAAGAAAAGAAAAACCAATTATCAACTGTAGCTATTCACAACCCTGACAATTATTAAAGAAGCAGCAGTTGGTGAAGAAAACTTAACAATAATGAAGCAAAACTTTTAAATAAGTGGAGGAAAAAAATAACATTTAGAGGTCAGCGCCTGAGCTGAAGAATGTTCCAGAAAGGAAATGTTCTTACTGTTAATGAGAATAAACAATAAAGTGTTGATTCATGATAAAAGTTACATAGATATACATTGAAAAACTAATAGTATTTCTAATCCATGACATCATGATCGGCTCTACCTGAGACCAAATCTAATTTCCCACCAGTTCTCCGTCTGACATTTATTAAATTAGCTACACATATGATCTGGCACTGGTTGAAAGACGTCTGATTTGAGATGCAATCGAACTACGCGAGGAATTCCCAGTGAGACCACAGCCTATGAATCAGTCCAGGATAAATCAACTTCTCATTGTTTCAGTGCATCAATCTTTCCATTTTTCACCTGCCCTCCCAGGAGCCTGGGGCCGACTCCAGCTGACGGCTTCGTGTATGGACTGTTGTTCAAATATAAAATGGGAAGAAAAGAAAAAAACACTGTCTTTGCAAAGTGGGAAAATCTGATCTGCTGCTGTTCACTTAAAAACCATCAGGAGTTTCCTCCACTGCAGTGAGATGTCCAGGTGAGGCAGGAAACAACAGACAACATGTCAGTACTGCTGGGCTTCAGTTAGGATTCACACAGAACCTCACGTCCTCCTGTCCTCTGCATCGTGGACTATCAGCAATGACAGCACAGGATCCTGACACTGTGTGTGTGTGTGTGTGTGTGTGTTTCACACTGCAGTGCAGTTAGAGTACAGAGGGAGTGGAGTGGAGTGTGTTGTTCTTCAGCTGTGAAGGGGTTTGCAGAGGTGCACGGCTCCTCCAGCGTTCAACATTCACACGCCCTGGACTCCGTGCGCCTCTGGCCCGGGGTTCCACACCCGCCAGAGACGCAGATGCAGCGTTTTTGAAGTCGGTGTTTGAAAAACAAAATAACATAAAGAAGAACATTTTTGCTGCTGACGCACACACTGAATGAAAGACACACGTTTATACATGCATATATGCTGCGTGTGGATCACCCCGGGGCCTGCGGTCCCTCCCATTAACCATTTGACATCCAGACTGGGCCAGAAAGGGACATACTTTCAGAGACATGAGTCACATCAAGCAAATACTTCACATTTGGACAAGTCTTTGCACCTACTGTTTGATGAAAACCTCTGA